CCCCAAAACCCCAAAACCCCAAAACCCCAAAACCCCAAAACCCCAAAACCCCTATTTAGAATCAATGAATTGAGTTTGTAGAATTTCATAGAATAGGAATCTTCTAGACAATTAGCATTTATACTCGATCCTTTTGAATTCACTTGGCTTGATGTACTCTCCAATGAGTCTTCTGAGCTCTTCATGGGTGATATCAGCCTTTTGAATCTTTCCCTCCTCATCTGTGACATGCATAACGGTGTCAAGAGAGTTAATCAATTGAAAATCTTTAAATCCCTTCTTTTGGTTCAAATGATTGATTCCATCAGCAATGTACTTAGAGTTCTCAAGAATGGCTTGGTCATCTTCCTTATTTGAAGCTATTTTGAGCAAATTATCACAAATAACTTGTTTTTCACGCCAAGCAGCTTCTTGATCTTCTATTTTCTTTCTTTCGTTAACAAAGTACTCATTTATTTCACTGATAACTTGATCTTTTCTTTCGTACAAAGCCTTAATGAGAGTTTTGATAGAGGTCTCTGCTTCCTTTAGAGCAGCATTCTTAGCTTGATCTCATTGATTTAGAGCCTGTCTGATGTCAAGAAGGACCCCTTCAGTGCTCTCTGTCTTGAGATTTCCCATCTTAATGGAATGATCAAGGTCTTCTCTGATTTTTCCAATTGCTTCATTGAGGGGGAGTACTTCATGGCCTTTGGAGTCTCCAAACATGACTTCGTTTGCTGTTACTAGCTTATGTGTCTCAGTGTCATATGCGACAAGCTCAGACTTGTACCTTTCGTCAAGGTTATAGTCCATCTTCGGGTTCAGTTGGTTTGAATCCTGCTCACCTTCATCCATATTAGCCTTGCTATGTCTTTCTATAACACAAATCAGAACTTGACCTTGGCTTTATTGTAGCGTTTGGATGCTGATTTTAAGCGCGAGTTTGGAAAAGTTTAGCTTACCTGACTCCATAAAAATTCTTATATTTTCCAATAATTTAAAAATAAACGGGGTTTTGGGGTTTTGGGGTTTTGGGG